AAAAGTTATATCGCCTATGAAAAGCATTAACCTTATGAGTCCTGCAATGGTTCAAAGGTCATAGAGTAAAATTCCTGTAACCAATTAGTGTCTAGGCGGAAGTCATTAACAAACAAAAGTACAACTTAGTTATCGAGTGTGACTGTAACATCAATAAGTAGCCTTTTAACAACGTAAAACGTGTAATTTGAAGATGCCACTTTTTTGTTTTCTTTTCTAAAATTCACCAAATGATTCTAAAGCAGTTCTGACAACCAGGAACATATCACAGCAGGGTTGAAAAGCAAAAAGAATGCCCGTGTTACTTTTGCCTTCGTTTTCGACACAGCATTTATCAGGAATGGTTTTGGCGCTCTTTAAACGTGTGGAAAACAATTCAAAAGAAAACTGAACTCACTGATGTCATGGTATTTGCTAATATGTCCAATGATTTATGTATATTCTGGTAGACATTGCACTGCTGTTATATGGAATTCACAAATAAAGCGTTTTAATAACGACAGTCATGTCTATCTGTCCCCAGAGGACGTGTGAGTCCCCATCGGGCCGTCTACGCCTAGACACTAATTGGTTACAGGAATTTTACTCTATGACCTTTGAACCATTGCAGGACTCATAAGGTTAATGCTTTTCATTGGGTGACCAATCGGATGATTGCCAGTGACTCGTGTAGGTTCTCGTGCATGCTTTACGGTTCTCATTTCAATACTTTAAGTAGCCATGACTGCACCCTCCCAATAAAAATTTAATCTTTTACAATTGACTGCACTACATGGTATAATTTAGATATTGAATTCTAATTTTAGTGTACGGTTCAATCTTGCCAATTAATTAAAATTAGGTAAAAAAAACTCAAATAAATTTTCAAATACCCAAGAACACGAAAGGGCCCTCAATGTAAAGCTAAAACACGTTTCATTTGACAAAACTGCTGAAACATTATTTCGACTTACGACCCTTTACGATGACCCGTGCCATTGTAGTTGAAACTATTTCACTGAAATTTCGACTTAAAATGCAAAGTACAGTAGATAACACGCAATGGGGATATGTTTTTTTCTTTGACAAATTATAAGCCAGGGGGCACCACTTTGTCGTCTCTAACAGTGCTGCTGATGCCAATTATCTAGATTTAGATTAAAAAACTAGATGATGGAATACAAAAATCATGCAATTGCTATTTTATCTAAAATTATATCGGTAGGTCACACTAAAAGTGTTAGATATCGAACATACATTAAAATTTCTCGTTTCATAACGAACGAAAACGCAATTGTAATATTGATTTTGGGATTCAATTAAATCTCATATATTTCCAAACCGTACTTGGTTTCACTTTTTCAAAACGTTTGGAATGTCTTTCTAAACAAACGCCCACACCAAAAGCCATTAATGTGCATCAAAATACCTAATTTCGAATATGGATTAAAGGGATAACAACTCTTCATTTTGGCGGGAAAAGTGCCATAATGGATTTTCCTGGGGTAAAAGATGATTTTTCCATATTTACCAATGGTTGATAAATACGCTCTGATATTTAAAGTTACTAGATTCGTTTTTAAGTGTGTTTTGTGATAATCTCTTAAGAGACGGATTTTCCTGGGATAACCGGGACGTTCATAGATGGTCACCCTACGTAATAATCTCTTAAGAGATCTAGCTAGTCATCTATGAAGGTCCACACGGTTTAATGGCAAGCACAGAATTTCATAATAATAGCAATAACCGCCATTTTGGAGGTAAAATAGAATTAATAATATATATATATATATATACACTGGACAATAGAAGTGTCACCCCCTAACTCA